GGGTGTTATGCTGAGCGAAATAAGTCAGGCAGAGAAGGACAAATATCATATGTTTGCACGTATAGGAGGATTAAGAGGAATTTAACAGAGGACCATGGGGGAGAAGAAGGGGGGAAATGGTGGGGGAAAGGGAGAGAGGCAAACCATGAGAGACTCTTGAATGCTGAGAAACAAACTGAGGACTGATGGATGTGGGGGGGGGGATGGGCATGGAGGAGGGCACTTGTGGGGATGAGCACTGGGTGTTATATGGAAACCAATTTAACAATAAACTATTTGTAAAAAATAAAAAAATTAAAAAAATAAAAGGATTTTTAAAAATTTTTAAATCTTCTACTCTTTAATATCCTCAGTATCTTCCCATTCTCTCTTTCTCCTTCTGTCAGTCTGTTTCTCTTTCTCTGGTTGTTTCAATACTTTTCCATCTTTGGGGGGGGAAGTCTGTCTTTCTAGTGTCCATTTCCTCTTACTTTCACTGCCAAACTATTTATCGCTATTCATTCTTCAATCCCTATTTCTAAAATCACCAATGACCTACAGAGTTGATTGCCAGAGTCAGAAGGCATTATTACCCCATCCTGATCTTCTGCGGCCTCTTAATGATGCCTACAGTAAAAGGAGGCATCGGTGAGGTGCTGAAGAACTTGGAGCTGCCCCTGCGAATACAAACCAAATTGACATTGCCTTAGCAGTTTACACAGAGTCACAAAAGTATGGCTGAAAAACTGAGATGCATTCAAGTGGTCAGAGATTCACCCCAGGGAGAGAGGATTAGACTCTAACTGTAAATTAGTGGTGGAGATCTCTGTTCTCAGGAAGATTGCACAGACAGAAAAGGCCACTCAGACTAAAAGCAAAATCCACCCTGTGGCGCTACCTCTAGAGAGAGAAGGGGGCTTGTTGGAAGTTTAAAGAGGCCTTTGCTACTTCTCAATCACCGGAATCTAAGGATGAGAATGAATTCGTGTATTACATGTATAATTAAAAATAAGTTAAAAAGACAGAAGACATTAGCGGGAAAAAAAGCCAAACACCAGAGTACATTCTGTGGAGTTCTACTCGTACTAAACCAAGAAGAGGAGAATTCGTCTATTAAGAAATAGAGCAGAGCAGCTGTTATTCCAGGGCTGTACGTACATGAGGGGGCATGAGAGAGCCTTCCAGGGGCTAAAAGCATTTAACATCTTGAATGGCCTGGAGTTGTCAAATAGGTATGCACCTATGCCAAAGTTCACCAAGCTGTACACCTCAGATTCATGTGCTTTACTCGGTGTAAATTATACCTTAATTAGAAATTTAAATTTTTTTAATGTTTATTTATGTTTTGAGAGACAGAGACAGAGCGTGAACAGAGGAGGGGCAGAGAGAGAGGGAGACACAGGCTCCAAAGCAGGCTCCAGGCTCCGAGCACAGAACCAGACACGGGACTTGAACCCACGAACTGCTAAATCATGACCTGAGCTGATGGTCAGACGCGTAACCCACTGAGCCACCCATCCGCCCCTGAATCATAAATTAAATAGAAGGATACACATTTTCCAAAATGAAAAAAATAATAAAAAGAGGAGAAGAAGAGCTGTGTATTAGGGAGCGACCTCCCTAATCCAACAACATGGTTAGTGCAGGGAGACTATGGAATTCAGCACTGATTGTATGGTGGGGCCTCAGCTGGGCCCTGCGATCCCAGGTTGAGCAATGGGGCTTTGCGATTCCAGCTCGACGTCATAGGGGGAATGCGCTGATCCACCCATGTGCTCATGGCTGTGTACTTGACACTGGAATGTTTTCACAGTGATTAATAAATTGGCATTCTGGCCTGGAAATTTCAGTCTCCAGAAACTCAGCTAATAGTTACTAGTGCTATTGGTAGTCTTCGAGTCAGACACCTTTAGAGCACTCCCAAATGTGCTATTTCTCGGGCTCTGTGAAGCTCCCTTGCCCAGACCGCTCAGGAATCAGTCTGATGGGGGGGAGGGGGGGCGGGGGGGAAGGGGAAGCTGACCGTGGCCTGCTTTCTCTGTGCTGTTCCAAGAGACGGTAATGAGTATGGGTGGGAAGGAGGTCTAGGATGATTCTTAGAAATCCCAAATTCAGCTCTTCTGCCCCTGTCTTTCCACAGTGGCCCTCACTGAGTTCTCGCCATGTCTAACCTTACTCACTGCTGCTCTGTCTACTACTTCTTCTATTTTCCCTTCCACTTCCCTTCCCCCCTGCTTTGACTTTTTCAATGGTTCTTCAGTGCTCCCATGTTCAAGTTCAAACCGCTAGACTTGGTGGAGATAACAGTGTAGCCTAACCTGCTACTACTCCACCTCCACCCCCACCCCCTGAATACTTTCTGCTTCATCCAGTTTGCCAAAGTGGTGGCACGATTGACGTTTATGATGGGGCAATTTCTTATTGTGCAGGACTGTCCTGTGCATTCCGATAGGTTTAGCATCCCTGTCTGCTGCCCACTGAAAACCCGTGATACCCCACCTTCAGACATTCTGAGAACTAAAATATGCCCCCAGATATTTCCAAACACCCCCTTGCTTTTCCAACTGAGTGGCTCATGTCAGCCCTTCATACCTCAGCTCAAGTATGGAATCACATACAATCGCCATCATCATAGTTCAAGAACACAAAGTTTTGACTATTTCCTATGATTCAACCAAGTATTCTTTCCTTCTGGAAGCTCTCAACTGATGCTCTACAGCACTCTGGGACTCTCTGTATCCAGGTGTTCATACCATGTGTGGCAAGAGCTGATTTTCTTGTCCCCTCCCTCTTACCTCACTGCTCAGCCCTAATTACCTGGGAGCAAAGACCAAGTCCTAACTTAATCTCTTCGTATCTCAAACTTTACTTGGCTCAGTACCTGTCACATAATATATAATAAACCCATGTTTGAAGAATAAACAAACAAGATATTGAGCATACTTTCCCTGATGACTCAGTGTTATTATTCCTGGACATAGAGATGCCTTCCAGGCTGACTGAGCCACTTACAGCTTTTGACTCTACACCAGTGACCCACCATTGCCCTGCTTTGTGGGTTCGTGGGTTTGGATTTTGCATCATATCATGAGTGTGCTTGTCTCCAGTGACCCTTGTGGCCTTTGAAATATGAGGCAGACTGTCCCAAGTGCTGTGTGCAGCCTCTCCATGAGCTTTGCTGCATGAACATTGCAATAGTAGCTACCCTGGTTCAGGACCCTTTTGTCTGATTTCTGGGTTCTTGCTAGGTTTCACGCACCTGAAGTTCTCCTCCACTTAGGGAGGCGATCAGTGTCTAGAACCCTCCCCATAGTCATTTTGTTTTTGGAAACTGCTTAAAGGTGACCCAGGAGGACTTTTGAAAACAGACAAATGGTTCAGTGCTGAAATGCCCATTCCTAGGTCCCTCACTGATGACAGAATGACTGACAAAGGAATTTCTCAGGATGGTCTCTAAGTAGCTGTTATGTCCCTGAGGTCACAAAGTGTATGGGCACACTTTTTATTTTGAAATTTTTTATATCTGTATCAATAATTATACTGAGCTATAGATCTCAGATTTAGGATTTTTCTAATTTTTGGTTTGGATGACTTTGGTTTTCTAATTTTTGGTTTGGATGACTTTGAATAAAAAATAAAAATAGTAAAGCACCTTTTCATTATAATTTATATAGAATGAAGTCCAGGACCATAAGGAACAGAGATAAGAGGAGCAACCAGGCAGAAGTAAACAGGTAAATATAACGTCTCCCCACCCTGAATTTTTGTAATGACCATACCTTTAAATATTTTTACAATATTTTAGTATATATCTTAATAAGTGTTATATAACTCTACCCATAAATAATTTTAGTTCATTCTTTTATTTTCAATATTTATTTTTATCATCATTTTTCTCCTTTACAGGTTAATTACAACAGTTTAAGGAACAAAACTTTGTAGCCAGAAGAATGTTAAATAGTTTTTTTACAAATAGCTTGCAGCTTACAAGAAAGTCCATATAACCACATTCCTCTACACATAACGTGATACCTCATATTAAACCAAACAGTTCATAGGAAATTAGTATTAAATAGCAAAACACACACAAACATATATATAAATAACTTAACATAAAATAGAGTTTGACTCTAATGTGATGCTTAACAAAGCAAACTATGATGCAATATGTATCAACTTCATTAATTGGACAAGTCCAATGAGACAAAAATCAGGTAAGTGCTGAACTCTCAACTGCCAACTCTAGCTAGATTCTTTCTTTGTTGTTGGGCTCTGTCCAGGTCCATCCCAGAAAGCATCCATTTTCACATCTTCTTGACTCTTTGACTGTCAACAGAAAAAGAAGAAAAAAATAAGCAAAGACAGGGTGACTGGGTGGTAGGAATGTCTTTGCAACTAAAGATTACTTCTTGTTAATCTCTGGGTGCCAGGAACTCAGAGTCTAGATGAGGAAATCAAGGTTCAGAGAGGAAGGGCTGTGCCCAACGCAACTCAGCTGGCTAATGTCAGACACTGGCTTGAATCCTTAGGTCGCATCTTTAAATTCAGCGTCGATGACACCTTTGTATTAGGTGACTTCTGTTCATACTGATAACATGTTACTTTTTATTAGCATCAATTGAAATCAGAACTATTGATCTCTTTTTGACTCTTTGCTTTTTCATTTCTGACACACAAATATCATGCAGTCTGCAAAGTATATAAATAGGAGGCATCTTTGCACCGAAAATGAAGAAGCTAGTGACTGTCAAATGCATAGAGGACCAACACATCCTGTGAAAATCCTTAAAGTACAAAATATAAACATGATGCAAGTGGAAAAGGGGCATTTTTACTTTCATGGTCCAACTCAAATTTCCTCTTTAAAATTCTACAGTGTTTAGGCTGAAGGGTCCCAGCGAGCCTATGATCCACTACTCTGCACATGGCTTTTGGCCCAGACATTTGAAGAGGGGCTGACGGTAAATATCCCCTACCTGAGGATGCGTACAGCCTGTTTCACCCAGTTCTTCTTCGGATCTGCACACACGGCCAATCTTTTCCTTGTGTAAAAGCTTTAAAAAAAAAAACACAGAAAATTTGATTTTTGTTTAAAAATTTTTGAACAGCTATTTCATGGAACACACAATGGAAATTTTGTCTTCCAGCTGACTGCTCTACCCGCTAAGCATTTTAGTTGCTTCAGAGATTAAACAGAAGCCCAAAACAATTATTTCTGATAAAGCTTGATGCAAAAAATGAAAAGGGCCCTTGCCTACTTCCTCTGCAACTTAACAGATGGTTGAGCAATGGCTGGAAAATAAAGTCTTCGAATTATTATTTAATTTTGTTGCTGGGGGTTACACTAACCATGTGTATATCTGACTAATAATTTATATCATTCTAAAGTATAATATCCTGTATGAATCAAGAATATTACAAGTGAAAGTATAATGACTAAGCTTATACTTATAGCCCCAAGCATTCCTTCATAGAAGATGCTCATTTCAAAATTGCCGCCACCCATATTTTCATTAAATAGCCTGTTGGGTGCTTATACATTTATCTTAGGAAGTTATTTTTGCCCTCAACTCTTCTTTTTCTAAAAAGCCAAGCTTTCATCTTAGTCCGGTCCTATTTAAACTTTGAAGTACTTATGTATTATCAAAACAGAGGTATCTTTGCCACTTCAGTTATTTCTGAATGAAATTCCAAAAAGGCAAGCATTTTTTTAGACTTGAAATTCCTGTGCACTCCTGATACAATTAAATTAAAATCAGTTAATAACTTACATGATTGCATTGATATCACAGGCTTCATTAGACAGCTGCTGTGTGAAGCCCACGATAAATCTAGGATGAAGGACGTGGTCTGTATACCGAAGACAGCAGTCAAAGCTGCTTGCTGCTAAAAAGAAATAACAAGCATTGAGTCTACACAAATGAATGTATTCTGTGATAGGTATTATGGAACTACTTGAAGTTGTAGTTCCAAACAGTAAATAAACTATTTAGCGAAAGAGTTCCAATGTCTTTGAGACCTGATTTAACATAGTTTCCAATTCTCTTTAAAAAAATGCTTTCTGTGCCCGGGCAATTTTGGTTCAAAAATACAGTTTAGAAGCACATGACCCCTAATAAAAGGAATATCTTTACCAAGAACCACAAACTGACAGTGTTTTATTTTAAGTTCACCATAATCACTCAAGAACATGAGTACCACCCACTTGAAGAAACTCTTACAGATAAGCTTCCAAATTCCAAAACTGAATGAATATGGAGATCTTAACCTATTATTTGGCCACCGAGTATTGAGAGGAGGGGAAAGGCAAGAAGTTATAAAGAAAATGTAATTTATAGGAGCCTCTTACAGAGGCTGCAAAAGCACTTTGAAATTGTGATATTAGTGGAAATTTTTTATTTTGGTCATAAAAGTTCAACACATGCCTTTTCAGGAACACACCTGTCTCCAAGCATCATGTGCTCTGACAGTCATAAAGAAATTATTGGACATTCCCCCCAGGTTAAGTTACAACCTGCTATAAGGTAAGGAATAAATGTTATTCCTATGGATGCAAGAGATGGGCCCAGAGCCATGTAAGGATGGCAAAGGCAGATGCCATAACCTGCCCATAACGGGTGAGTTTTGAACTTTACTATTTAGCTGAGAGGTGCGAAGGCTGGGAATGTGGGAGTGCTCCCTACATTTCAGAATTGACCCAATTAACTGGTAATGTTACACCACTTACATCACTCCCAGAAAGAGCACTTTGGCCTTGTTGCAGAGCCTGGGGGTCTCTAAGAGCTCCCTTTCCACCCCCACCCCACCCCCAATCTGCTGGGATTGCCAGCAGAGAGAAAAGCCTGGTCGGCAGCAGTAACCTTTCCCTCCTCCCTCGCCAATGAGCTGGCAACTCCCATCATTTCTGAAGACTTTCTAACAGGCTCCCATCCCTAAGGGACCCCCAAGTGAGCTCAAAGCTTAGTGGAAAAGGAAAATAGTTCTTCCTCCTGCGTTAGCAGAGAGAGTGATACTTACCTTCTGACTTGCTGCACAGGTGGAGTAGCAGCACTGACATCAGAGCAGCCAAGAGCAAATTCTTGCTACTGCACATCATTTTCAGCTCAAGGAATAGGTCTGCCCAGTGCTGGGTCCCCGGTGTGCTAAGCCTGCTCCTGGGCTGTGACAGTAGCCTGGGTCTGGGATGGCCCTACTTATAGCAAATATTGGGAATGTACACAGAAGGCGTGTTCTAACGTGGGTTTTCCCCCATTGATCAACCTGCCCCATCATGTCGTCACAAAAAATAACCACAGGGAAAACTTCCTGCCTTTCCCTAATGTTGGGAAGCCGTGAAGGTCAGAGTAGGGGGGCGGTATTTGAGAAGGGGAAAATCTTGCCAAATCCTTTGGATTCGCATAGAGGGAAAACTGCCTCGCCCTGTGGCTCAGAAAAGGTTTTCATGCAGTTTTAACTTAACTCTTGTCTCTGAAAAGAGAGGACAAGGATTAACGATGATACAAAGGTCAGTTCTACACCTGAACAGTATAGGACTCTATTGTTAACACTGTATTTGCTTTCCAGAATCAATTGGGAGCAAGAGGGTGAGACAGAATGCCAGGCATACTTGGGGATGCATTTGTAACTGCATAGTCGGTGCTCAGCTGTCACCAAAGACCTTGTATTTCTTTCTTTCTTTTTTTTTTTAAAGACCTTGTATTTCTAAGCCACCATTCAGATTAGGTAATCTGACAATGCTGTAGTAGCGTTCCCAATTTTGGCAGAAAATACCAGACCTTAAGTACAATACAAAGCCTCAGAAGAGTTGAAGAAAAACGACAATCCACAAAATAAATGTCAAATAATAGTGAAACTGACAATAATGTAATATGAATCCCTGACCTACGATGGTAAAATAACAACTCTGCACAAGGCAGAATATCATTGTATGTTAGGGATTAGGTTTGTAGGAAGCAAATTTTGGGCGATAATGGAATTATTTTCTATCCTATCCCAGGCATGGTTACATATATCTACGTGTATGTTAAAATTCCAAAAACTGCACATCAAGAGAAAAAATGAATTGTATTGTATGATTACTTTAAAAAATACATTTTAAAAACATTGAAAGCATTAAACAAAAACTATCCACTAAACACAAATATGTTGAAAGTAAATAGGTTATACTGTGTAAACAGTAAAACAAAACAAAACAAAACTGGAGTTGCTATGTTATAGAAATTTATATATGACAAAATAATTTTACATCAAAACTTGTTACCAGAGATAAAGAGGGAGTTCCATTATAATAAAGGATCACTTCATTAGGAAGATACAAAAATTATGACCATATATACACCTAAAAGTAGCACATGAAAATACATAAAGCAAAACTGACAGAATGGAATGGAGGGATAAACAATTTGGCAATAAAAATTGGATACTTCAATATCACATTTTCAATAATAAATAAAAAAACTAGACTGAAAACCCACAGACAGTAAACCAATTAGACCTAACAGATATCTATAGAACACTCCACCCTAAAATAGAATAGGCATCCATCCTTCTTAAGGGCACATAGAACATTCTCCAAAATAAATCACATACAAGGCCAAAGAACAAGTCCTAATAAATTTAAAAGGATTGAAAGTATACAAAGTATGCTTTCGAAACACAATGGAATTAAATTAGAATCAATAACAGAAGGAACTCTGGGAAATTTACAATGATATGGGGATTTTAAATGCTGCATTCCTATATAACCAATCTCTCAAAGAGGAAGTCATAAAGGAAGTAGAAAATACTTTGAAATGAATGAAAACGAAAACACAAGCATACCAAAATTCATGCTCAGAGGGATACTTACAGCAAGGATACATGACATAATAGCAAAACAATAGAGGAAATTGGTGGAAATAAAAGTTGGTTTTTTGAAGAGATCAGCATTAATAACCTTTAACTAGACTAACCAAGAAAAAGCAGGGGAGGGAGTGTGGGCACTGGGAGAAGATAAGTTGCAAAACTCAGTAGTCAAAGAGGTCATCACTACCAATTGTAAGAAATAAAACTGACTATGGACAACTGTATGCAATAAGTTAGATAGTATAGATAAAAAGGACAAATTAGTCAAAAGATACAAATTCCTGAAACTGATTCAAGTAAGCATAGAAAGCTCAAAAAGCCCAATAGCAAATAAAGATATCAAATTGGTAACTAAAACTTTTTCCATAAGGAAAAACCAAGTAAATTCTACCAAACATTCAACGAAAAATTAAAACTAATTCTTTCACAAACTTTTCCAATAAATAGAAGAGGAGGTAACAATTTCTAATTCGTTCTATGAGGACAATGTCACACTGATATCAAAGTAAGATAAAGACATTGCAAGAAAATAAAACTACAGGCCTATATTGTTAATGACTACAGACACACAAAAATACTCAACAAATCATTAGGAACCTGTATCCAGAAATATATCAAAAGGATCAGGCACCATAACCAAGTGGGATTTATCCCATGAAATGTAATACATGATATTAACTACATTTAAAAGAAGTATGAAAAGCACTTAATGAAACCCAACATCCTATCATAATAAAAACAGTCGACAAACTTGGAAGAGTAAAGAATTTCCTCAACCTGATAAAGGTCATCTATGAAAATCCCACAGCTAATCATGCTTCCTGCTGAAAGGCTGAATGCTTTCCTCCTGAGATCCAGCCCAAGACAAGGATGTCCATTCTCACCAATTCTATTCAGTATCATGCTGGAGATTCTAGCCAGGATGTCTAGACAAGAAAAGGGGAAAGACACCCAGACTGGAGAGGAAGTAGTAGCTATCTTAATTTGCAGATGACATTATCTTACATATGGAAAATCTTAAAGAATCCACTTAAAAAAAACTATTAGAACTGATAAGTTCAGCAAGATTGCAGGATTTGAGGTCAATATACAAAAATGAATTGTATTTCTACACATTATCTATGTTCGTTGATAAAAATGTACACCTGAAAATAAACTTAAGAAAACAATTACTTTTACAATAGCATCAAAAAAAAAAAAAAAAAAAGAACCAAATACCTAGGTGTAAATTTCACAAAAGATGCAGAAAATGTAACATCACAAAATATTACTAAAGAAATTAAAGACTTCCCACGTCATATATTGGAAAGACTTAACATTGTTAAGATGGCACTACCCACCCACTCCAAAAATGATCTTCAGATTCAATGTAATTCCTACCCAAATTCCCACTGGCTCATTTGCAGAAATGGAAAAACCAATCCTCAAATTCATATGGAACCACAAGCGATCCCAAATACTCAGAACAAACCCAACAAAGAAATGGAAGAACAAAGAAAGTCAGAGGCTCTTACAGTTCCTGATTCCAAAACTTACTATAAAACCACAGTAATCAAGGCATGCTATACTGACATAAGTGAACACATGTAGATCAATGGCATACAACTGACAGTCCAGATATAAGCCCCCTTGTACAGTGAAGTGATTTTTTTTTCATTATGGTGCCAAGACCATTCAGTGGAGGAAAGAAAAATCTTTTCAACAAATGGTGCTGGAACTGGACACTCACATACAAAAGAATGATGCTAAACCCCACCTCACGCCATGCACAAAAATTAACTCAACATGGGCCAGAGACCTAAATAAGAGCTAAAAATTGAAACTCTTAGAGTAAAAGATAGGAGTATACCTTCATGAGCTTGTCAATGGTTTTTGCAGATGTAATATCAAAAGCTCAAGCAACAAAATAAAAAATAAACTGAATTTTATAAAAATGATAAACTTTAGGGCTTCAAAGATTACTACAAAAAATGTCAAAAAACAACCCACAAAAAGGCATGAAATAACTTGCAAATCATATATCTGATAAGTGACTTTTACTTGTATCCAGAATATATGAAGAACTCTTGTAAATCAGTAATAAAAAGATAATCAACCCAATTTTAAAACGGACAAAGTATCTGAATAGGCATTTCTCTATAGAAATGTAAATGGCCAACATGCATATGCAAAGATCATCGAAGTCATTAGACATTAGGGGAAGGCAAATCAAAACCACAATAACATATCACTTCACACTCACAAGAACTGCTGTAATCAAAAAAATGGATAAGAAATCTTGACCATGACATGAAGAAATTGGAACCCTCATACACTGTTGATGAAATGAAAGATGATGTGGTCCCTTTGAAAAATAGTTTGATAGTTCCTAAAATGATTAACCATAGATGATTCTGCAATTCTACTCCTAGGTATATGCCCACAATAAGAGATAACATAGGCCCACACAAAAACCTATACATGAGTGCTCATGGCAACATTATTCATAATCACCAAAAAGTGGAAAAATTCAAAATGTCATCAACTGATGAATGGATAAATAAAATGTGATAAATTTGTACAATGGAACATTATTTGACAACAAAAATGAACGAAGCACTGATGGATACTACAACATGGATAAATCTTAAAAACACTGTACTAAGTGAAAAACAAAGCAAGCATAAAAGGTCACATATTATATGATTCCATTTGTATGAAATGTTCAAACGTGGTAAGTTTATAGAGCCAGGAAGTAGGGGTAGGGTGGAGTGTCAGGGGAAAAGGAGGGGAATGGAGAGTGATTGCTAAAAGGCTATGTGGTTGTATGTGGTTTCTTTATAATCTAAAAATAGGTGGTGACAAAGGTTACATAACACAGTGAGTATGCTAAGATACAAAATGTGCACTTGGAAAGAGTGAATTTTATGATATGTGAATTATATGTCAGTAAATCTCATAACAACAATAAAAAATGCTCCACCTACCTAGATCAAACACTCTCACCAGTGCATAGATCCTCTCTCCTCTACTGTCTTCATTTTTCCTTCCTTATTCATTCCTCCTGTCTCTCCTCTTCTCCTTATTTCTTATTTCTGAATCACATTGTGTTTTTTGGCTGATTTTTTTTGGTACTTTTTTATACTGATTGAAATTGTATTTCCTGATGCCTGGTTTGATAGCGGGGTCACTTAAACTTTTTTTAAATGTGACCTTCAACTGATTTTTTTTTTTTTTTGGTCAAGGAACATGTTAATGGGAAGTATAACATAAGATTATCTCAAACCTAAGTTATTAGAAAGCTATTTATCACACTGGAATTTCTTTTCCAGCTATTCTTTTTTTAAATTATTTTAGAG